AAATATATTTATAAAAGAAATAAAGAGCTGTCCCAAGAAACCTACATTAACTATCACAGCTTTCCTGTAGACAGGTTTACCTTGTGTTCCATTCTGCACTGATAACATCCAATAACTATATGTTGGTGTTGATTGAAATGGTGAAATAAATGTACAAGAACATACAAACATAAAGTGAATGTTAAAACAATACCTATTGGAATGCAGAAGGTGGGGACAGTCGGGTCGCAGATCAGATTTAAGCAATTCAGGTGATCACCTGAAATTGAAAAATAAAATATCTCAAAAACTATAATAGCACAAATGCTCATTTTAACTGCACAAACCTGCACAAACAAAGCACTAAAAAAGTAGACTATTTTGGTTCATTTCGGAGCTTGCTGGGGGGATGGTGACGTCATCGTCTTAAACTGAAAACTTGTAATATCTCAAAAACTATAACAGCACAAACACTCATTTTAACTGCACAAATCTGCACAAACGAAGCACTAAAAAAGTAGACTATTTTGGTTCATTTCGGAGCTTTCTGGGGGAATGATGATGTCATAATGAGCTAAAGACATAATATTTAATATCTCAAAAACTATAACAGCACAAACRCTGGTTTTAACTGCACAAACCTGCACAAACGAAGCACTAACCAATCCGCTTACTTGCTTGGATTTTTTGTGTGGATGGGGTGTCAGCTTCACTCAGCTCTTACAGAAGCCCTCTTTAGCCTCTAATAGATATAAACCCCTACATCTACCCTTTAGTTAAAGCAATGACCCATTCTTTAACTACTACCTGTAGCTWATCTAAAACATGATAGCTAGCAGGCAGAGGCATACATAGGATTAGCCTAATGTAAAAACCCAGCTTTAGGTTAACCTAAACCCACATAGGTGCACAACACATAGTGACCAGAAGGGCATCAACTGGGAACAACGCAGCCTTCAACACCCACCACGATGGCCCACCTCCTCATCSAAGGCTCTACAAGTGTCGACGCTCTCGACCTGCATCCTTCGGGGGGAACCATCTTCACGCTGTTCCAGTTGTCTCTTCGCTCCTGTTGGTGGTCTCCATCATCGACCCAGAGATCCCGTCTCCATCTTCGATGCAGAGATCCCCTGTTAACCTGCAACCTTCCAGAGATCGACTCTCGAAAGGGGGGTTCCAGTACTTCACTTTGCTATGCTGTTCCAGAAATTGGTTGACTCCAGGTCAGCCACAACAATCGCCATGTGGAATATATATTTTTTTTCATTGTGGATTATACTTTTCCTTGGTGGATTACTTTTGCTTCCAGTGGATTACAGACTCTGTTGTCCAATGGACTTGAAGTTTTGCATCAAAGGGAGTTACCCACAGACATTATGGGAACCGTACAAAAAAAGACAGAACTTTTTTCCTTTCCTTTTCCACAATAACTGAAGAAAAACTCTTGCCACGCAAAGTTTTCAGTTTGGATTACACCGTTTCACCAATCGGATTAATTCAAGATCAAAGACTTTCGAGATGTTCCCGTTTTCATTGCAACTAATCACCATTTGGGGGTGATAACTTCCAAAAGGGGGGATATATAGGGGTCACCTCGAGTCAAATTGTCAAGGAACTATCTTGGACTCTCAGTCCTCTGATGGGTCTTCTTATGGACAAAAACTCTGTTCCACTTAGAACTGTATGTAGGCCACCCGAGGCCACTTTCCTTCTAAATCAGATAAAAACAGAAGAATCTTCTCTTATTTGATTTATTGTTCTCTTAACTGAAAGTATTAYGCATTTTGATAATCAGAGAATGTTTATCAAAGTTACAGGAGAAGACNGAAATGTTTAAGATGTTTATAAGACGTTCAGCTCTTAAACATTTGCACTCAGTAATATTTCTGTTATTAATCATTATTCTCTGTTCATCATTCTGGTTTATCCAAGGCCAAAGATCCATAGTTGTCAATCTGAGGGGCAGGTGTCTAAAAAATTTTAACCACGAAATGTTTAAGATGTTTATAAGACGTTCAGCTCTTAAACATTTGCACTTAGAATTTTATCACTTTACATACTTTTCAGTAACTTAAACGTCTACAATTCTTGTTCAAATAAAGAATTTTATGTTTACTAGATTGTTAACTAATTATTTTCAAGTTAATATTGCCTTAATGAACAGTTATTAAAAAAATAACCTCTGATGTTAAATGCGACGTGGTTGAAAATTTGGGTGCACCTAACTTTTGTGCTGCTGTGCCTAAGAAAAAATGTTAGGCGCACCGGTGCAACCAGTGCAAAAAGTTCGTCTAGAGCCCTGTCCTGGACRCCTCCCTGGTGAGGTGTTTCGGGCATGTCCCACTGGTAGGAGGCCCTGAGGAAGACCCAGGACACACTGGAGGGACTATGTTTTTCAGCTGGCCTGGGAACGCCTTGAGATTCCCCCGGACGAGCTGGCCCGAGTGGTTGGTGAGAGAGATGTCTGGGTCTCTCTGCTTAGGCTGCTGCCTAAGGTTGAGTCTGAAAAACATCTGATTCAGTACCAAAAACTGAGAAGAACTGGGTTGGATTTGCGGGGGCAAAATCAGATTTTTCACATTCAGACAGTAATGAAAAAAATACATCTTCTTCCATTTTGCTTGTGAAAAACCTGACATGCAGTTAATGAAATTAAAATTAAAATTGTATGTGTAATTATAAAATAAGTGGCTTTAATGTATGTGTATAATGTAACGGCACATCACGTCGAGAGCTATTGTTGCAGTTGCTCCTCCACATCCACCTCTCTTATGATACATCAAAGTTGTGGGGGGGAAATGATGAAAATTTGGTTCATATTCTGTGTCACCAACACTGACACAGGCAGAGTCACATGCACTAGTCTCTCTCTCCCCCCTCCACCCCCAAAATCACCTCCAGCAATTCCCTAGGGGAAACACTGATTTTATTCCAATAGAAAAGTATCRATAAGAGGCCAGTTAAAATAACAGATCGATAAGCAATTCCGATAACAGCACTAGTATTGATAAAAACTTATATCATCCCTATTTAGCCATAAGTTATTGTAATGATAAAATTACAACAATTATTCATTTTAAATAAGTTATTATAGATATTCACTAAACACATATCAACACCTGAAATCCATGAACAAAAATCTAAGTTTAACATCAGTCTGAAGTGTCTGTTGATATCTAACCCAAACAAGAAGTGAAACTACCTTGTGCCATGTTAGACAAATAAACGAACATTCTCCTCAGTGAATATTATTACTTTGAAGTTTATCCAGATTAAAAGTATTAAAAAAAAACTACCATTAGTTTAAATATGTTACTTACAGATTTCTGACCTGAAATAGAAGCAGGTAAACGTAATGAGGACGTGTGGTCTCCGTCTTGTTGCAAGGTGGAATTATTCAGGCTTCCTGAAATTAAGAACAAAAGAATCAGAAGAGAGATATAAGAAGTATAAAAACAAGTCGGTATGTATGATAAGAAAGCATAAGAAGGAATATTACAGTGATTTATTTTATAGAAGTAATGGTGATAAGAGGGCAACAAGGCAAGTAATGAATAGTGTTCTGAAAAATCATAAAGTAAATTTGGCATTCCACAGTACTTTGTAAAGGAAAACAATGAAATAAATTATCTGAATGAAATTGTAAATGGRTTTAATCATTGTTTTCTAAATGTTAGTCCAAGTCTTGCAATTAAAATACCAAAAGTAGATAAAAATGTGAGTCATACAATCATGGGTTGTACCAACAGCATTTTTCTTGATAGGACTGATACAGAAGAAATAATGAATATTGTAAAAAAAAAAAAAA